TTACTATTTTGATCAAACCACCAGCTAGCTATCTTTCTATCAGATCAGATAGACGCATACCATATTGGGAACACAGCTCCATCAGTAGTGTGCTAAAGCTGCTCGGTGTATGGCTGGTTGACTTAGCTCTGCAATTGCCAGGAACACTCTTCCTGGCTAAACAACATGTACTTATAGCTTTTAGTATTTTCAGGGTGAGGTTGTGACCACTTGCAAACTAACTCATCCCATATTTACTGCCACCTCTAATTTAGTAAAGGCATCTTGCTGCCCAGGAGGTCCGAGAGTAGCCTGCCTGGAGCTGTTCCACAGATATCAGGAGCAGATGGCAGAGCTCCCCTCTGACTCCCTCTCACATAGCACAGCCTTGATGTGGGGGACAGCAGAGGCGGGGAAGAAGGAGAGTAATCTTCAGAAGCATGGGCCCTTCACCCACTACTTGTGGGTAGAAAGATATCCCTGTTAGTAACAGATATTTTACTGGAATGAATATGGGTAGAAATGGACATCTTTTCTGTGCTGTCTTAGAGATAAAGATCGGTACTCTTATCTGTTGGAAATAGCAAAAACAAAACAAAACAAAACACAACCTTCTTGCATGCTCACACAATCAAGAAACCACAAGTAGAAATCTGAACCTGTTAGCAGCTTGCTGGGGGAACCACGTCAGGGCCAGAGTTATTAATACATTTCAGGGTAAGCCGACCATAGCAGGATGACTTCGTCTATGTTTAAACACCATGCTTTTAAAGAGTCAATTTTTGTGAAATGGTAAATCATGCAAGGAATGAGCACCCTTCAACATGAGAGCATTTTACAGAACTGGCCCCACATGACTCACAAAGAGTTGGGAGTTTGTATTTCCCTTCCTTCCTTTGGAAACCTTGTGTACCTTCCTCGTGCCCTTGCCAAATTTGATCCCGTGTTATAGTTACCTATGTGTTTCTGTATTTTCACTGCTAGAGCGTAAGCTCCTTGAGGTTGGGATAGATATGAGTCCTCATACTGTGTAGCAGAGAATGTAATTGTGTTTGTGGAATGAATGGATGAATGAATGAATGAGATGGAGGTGGTAAGGAGATATGATAGATGAAGGAGACTCGACTGTAGTCAACTTCCAAATCACAACCAGCAAACACTGCACCACAAAAACAAGCTCAATATTTTAACAGAAACAATTTTGCCCTTTCCTGTGACCCATGGCAGACACCAGGGCAGGGACAGATACCTGGGCACTTGGTCCATGTCCCATCTCCCAAGTCAGAATGTGGTGCTAATGAATGGTTGAGCAGCTGCTGAGAAAAGGGGGAAAAAAATTCCATGGATAGGCCCGGCACGGTGGCTCACACCTGTAATCCCAGCACTTTGAGAGGCCGAGGCGGGCGGATCATGAGGTCAGGAGATGGAGACCATCCTGGCTAACACGGTGAAACCCTATCTCTACTAAAAATACAAAAAATTAGTCGGGTGTGGTGGTGGGCACCTGTAGTCCCAGCTACTCGGGAGGCTGAGGCAGGAGAATGGGGTGAACCTGGGAGGTGGAGCTTGCAGTGAGCTGAGATCGCGCCACTGCACTCCAGCCTGGGCCACAGAGGGAGACTCTGTCTCAAAAAAAAAAAAAAAAAAAAGAGCTGAGTAGGGAGAAACTCCATGCTCACCATAGGTGAGTTTAACACTTAACACCTTCTTTAAGATTTTGCAGAATTTCATCCAAGAAGCCTGTAATTGACAACACTGGTTCAGCCCAGTGGCTGCTTCACATAGTTTCTCTACTTCTAATGACATCAATTTCTCTTGTTCCAGTAGTGCCTTCCTTTGGCAAGCAACTACTCAATAAGGACATCTGCTTCCTTCGGGGCTTGATATCAGCCAGGGGATTAACCTGTGCAGAGATGACTTGTCAGTCATCAGTTACGGCCTCACCAAAGTGAGGTCAAGTTTGCAGCAGGTTTTTACAAAACTATGATTTTATTGTCAGCATAGGAAGCATTTTCTTACACATACAATGGATGGTTCACTTTAGAGGCACACCTGACCACTGTGAGAGTTTGTGGGAGGCAACAGTGCACTTGGGTTACAGACAACTGAATAATGTACAAATACAAAGGGTGTGGGCTCCGGTGATGTCGCAATACAGCAATTCTTTGACATACACATGTGTATGTGTTTATATTGCAAAGTGCAGAGTAATCTCTTTCCAATCTTTTGTTTTTTTTGAGACGGAGTCTCAATCTGGGGTGCAGTGGCATGATCCTGGCTCACTGGAACCTCTGCCTCCTGGGTTCAATCAATTCTCCTGTCTCAACCTTCTAGTAGCTGGGATTACAGGCACGTACCACCATGCCTGGCTAATTTTTGTATTTGTAGTATAGACGGGATTTCACCATGTTAGCCAGGCTGGTCTGGAACTCTTGACCTCATGATCCGCCCACCTCAGCCTCCCAAAGTGCTGTGATTACAGGCATGAACCACCACGCCCGGCCCTTTCTAGTCATTCTTCATGGCTTTTGCCTATCACCATTTCTGGCTTGTTACTAAAGTTGGAGTTTTGAAAGTAAGTTACAGTTATTTTGCTCCTCATTCTTGAGCAACAATGGAGACATTCCAGTTCTGAGCTTGCTAGATAGTGCAATAAGCCAGCTGGAAGTTGAGTATCTTAAGGACAAAATTTGGTATGCACTGTTGTTTACTAACCAGCAAGCCTTTCAGCTGTACAATAAATTGATTTTTAATAAGTCATTGAAATCCATCAAATTCTCTCCTGCTAGACAGTAACAGTCTCTCCGATGTGAAAAGACAGGTTTTCTTTCAGCGGGGCTGCCCAACAGCCATTACTTTAGGAAAATGGAGTTGAGAGGCACAAGGATCCTGGATGGAGATGAGGCAAGACACCCACGCTGTGGTGAAGACCAGGTGGCCAAAACCCAATTTGAAAACCCTGATGTGGATGTGTCCTGGGCCTGTTCTCCTGGAGCAGGACCTCCCTGTAGTTTGGATTCTTCTCTCTCAGCTTGAACCTCTTTCCTCAGCACCTGTGGTTCATATCCATTGAGCAAGGGGGAAGACATTCGTTGTCTGGGTAGTGTTAAAAAACACGACCGTGTTCTTGAGCCAGTTTCTATGTTAAATACAACCAAGGTCTCACTGGTGACCTTGAACAAAACAGAAGTAACCTTTGTTCCTCTGGCCAGTTCCAAGTCCTCAGAACCTACAGTCACAAGTCACTCATTTCTGACCAGGTTTTCCCATGCCTGGAGCCTGTGTGGGCCTTCCCCAGCTTCCTGGCAGAGACCCTGCTGTGGTGTTGCAGGACGCACAGGTGAGAGGCAGGGCGCAGAGCCAGACATGGCTCCAGATCCCAGCCCCAGCATGGGTGTGGTGCAGGCAAGTGACTTAATGTCTTTCTTCCTCATTCTCCTCATTTACAAATAAAAGATAGTAATAGGCTGGGCGCAGTGGCTCAGGCCTGTAATCCCAGCACTTTGGGAGGTCAAGGTGGGTAGATCACAAGGTCAGGAGATGGAGACCATCCTGGCAAATATGGTGAAAACCCGTTTCTACTAGAAATACAAAAATTAACCGGGCGTGGTGGTACATGCCTGTAATCCCAGCTACTTGGGAGGCTGAGGCAGGAGAATCATTTGAACCAGGAAGTCAGAGGTTGCAGTGAGCCAAGATCACACCACCGCACTCCAGCCTGGCGACGGAGTGAGACTCCGTCTCAAAAAAAAAAAAAAAAAAAAGATAGTAATAGAAGTCAGAGAGTTGTGGTGGGAACAAATGTATTAATACAGTTGACCCTTGAACAACCCAGGTTTGAACTACTGGGTCCACTAACAAGTGGATTTTCTTCCTTCTCTGTGACCCAAGACAGAGACAGCAAGACCAACCCCTCCTCCTCTTCCTCCTCAGCCCACTCAATGTGAAGATGGCGAGGATGAAGTCTTTTATGATGACCCACTTCTCCTTAATGAATAGTAATTATATTTTCTCTCCCTTATGCTTTTCTCAGTAACATGTTCTTTTCTCTAGCTTGCTTTATTGTAAATACAGTATACAGGCTGGGCGCAGTGGCTCATGCCTGTAATCCCAGCACTTTTGGAGGCCGAGGTGGGTGGATCATTTAAGGCCAGGAGTCTGAGACCAGCCTGGCCAACATGGTGAAACCCCACCTTTACTAAAAATACAAAAATTAGCTGGGCGTGGTGGGGAGTGCTGTAGTCCCATCTACTTGGGAGGCTGAGGCAGGAGAATCGCTTAAACTCAGGAGGTGGAGGTTGTAGTGAGCCAAGATCGTGTCGCTTGGGTGACAAGGCAAGACTCTGTCTCCAAAAAAAAAAAAAAAGGGAATACAGTATATAATGCACATAACATATAAAATATGTGCTAATCAACTGTTAATGTTATCCGTAAGGCTTCTGGTCAACAGCAGTTTATTAGTAGTTAAGTTTTCGAGGAGTCAAAAGTTATACCTGGATTTTCAGCTATACAGGGGTCGGTGCCCCCACATCATGCTGTTCCAGGGTCAATGGATACATGAAGTGTGTATAGCACACATGGGGCATCTTAAACAGCGTTAGCGTTCATATCCCCATTATTTTCTTCGCAGGTGTGGTAGGTGGAATTATTGTTACCAGCCTTCCTCCTTTCCTTCCCATGAGACTTTGAAGTTCTTCCACCAGAGGCGGAATGTGCTTCCTCACCATTTGATTTGAGGTTTGACCATGTGACTTGCTTCGGCCAGTCGTGTGTGATTAAAGGACACATGCCAGTCCCGATCCTAGGCCTCCCGAGGTTAGCGTGTTTCCACATATGCTTGTGAGCTTCAAACCTCATCCACGAAAGCAAGCCCGGGACCTGGCTGGTGCAGGGAGCAGAAGAGACACTGAGGCAGGGAGGCAGGGTTGGCTCAACCTGCTGCCCAGAACCAAGCCCTGCTGGCCAGTGGGCTCAAGGCAAGTGCACGCATGTGAGTGAGAATAAATGATTATGTGAAGCAGTGAGTTTGGGGGGGCGTTTTATTTGGCATAATTGTGGCAGTCGCTGGCAGATACAATAGGAGAGTTAATGGGGTGGAAGTTCATGAGCTATTATGGAGGGACACAGGAGGGGAAAGAACGGGATACAATTCCCACTGTCCCCCGTGGAAACTAGGGTGTGAAAGGGTAGGATGACCGGTTTGAGGTCTGTGATTTGGAGTCAGGAAGCCGACCCTGCCTCCCATGCAAAGCATGGCACCAGGGAATATCTAGTTGCTCTGAATGTGCCGAGCGTAGTTTCCTCAATGTTCCTCTATCTTGACTTATTCTCCCATCGTTTCTCTTAGCACAGAAAGGGCCCTCTCCCTTGAGTCACGCCCTGTAGAAACCTTGCCCTTCTCTGCTTGCCAAAGGCTCGTACCACGAACGACTGATCAGAGTTCAGATCCTGGAAGTGGTGTGTTTCTTTGTTCATGCCATGAATGTGTCACAACTTTCCCAAAGCTCTGCGGGCAGCTGAATGATTGAACCTCTTTGATACGATCCTGAGGCTCCCTGGAGTCACGGGCTTGGCGCGCAGGCAGCCCCTGTCCCTGCTGTCCATCAGCTTCTGAATGAGAGAGAGAGAGAAAGAGAGAGAGAGAGAGACAGAGAGAGAAAGAGAGAGAGAGAGACAGAGAGAGAGAGACAGAGAAAGCGGTGTAAGCAACAAGAGACCTTGGGAATCACAGGATAGCATGGGGTCGCTCCTGCTCTTGGCTGGCCTGGCCTCATCCACTTCTAGCCACTTTCCTCAGCGGCTCTTGGGCAGACCTCAAGAAAGCCTTATTCGAAATGCAGGAAGACCTCGGAAGTGTTACCTTGTCAAGTTTGGTTAAAGCTTTTTTTTTTTTTTTAATTGCTCTTTTTTCCAATCTCTTTTTTGTAACAATCTATTTATTTTGATGGGCAGAGCTCATGTGTGAGGTCAGTGGATATTTTGGCATTTTGTTGTATCACCGTGAGGACATGAGACCCTTGGAATCTTTTATTATTATTATTATTATACTTTATTTATTTATTTATTTTATTATTATTATACTTTAGACCCTTGGAATCTTAATAATAGCATATTAATGATGCATTCAGTCCCTGGGTACCCACACCTGCACTAACTGGTTCTTAGGAGCAGAGACCATGTAGGCTGGGAGGGGTGAAGGCACCTTCTAAATCCCCTGTTGTTAGGCTGAGCATGGCAGTCCTCACTGTTGTGTATCCTACTGTCTTTGCCTTTGAAATAATGCACTGGGTTTTTTTTTTTACCTTAGATGGTGGAAATGGTGGTGGAGATGGAGAGAATTCTAGTTAAATGACAGAGAGATGCAGCCTTGACTTTGCAGTCTCACAGATGTCTCATTAATCGGCACTAATGATGCTTGCTCAGAAAAGGGCGTTTGCACTAGGAAGCATTTTCTTAAAATCAGACCATTACCTCAGAAATAGAATTAACAAGGACGGAGTCAGACAGATTAGGTCATCCTATCCATGACGACTTCTGTGAAATGGAGCCACATGTAAGCCTGGTGTAGGGGTTTCTATGACAAGACATGATAAGGAGAAGGTAACTTTCACTGGCAAACAGACCTAGCACTTAAGATCCTCAAAGCAGGATGGAAGAAGCAGGAGCAAAGCTGTCTGCAGAATCACAAAAATGAGGTCTCACTGCCTTGTCCAGTAGACTGTCGGCCACGGTCTGCTAACCAGGCTCCAGCGTGCACTGTGGCCCCCAACCCACACCCTATCCTGCAGCCAGGGGCTCTTTTCCCAGTACAAATAAGATCCTGTTATCCTCTGTCCCCTGCCACCCTCCTGATTAAACCCCTTCAGGGCTCCCTGTTGCCTAAACCAAAGTGTTCCCTCTGCCGGTAGCATGCAGTGTGTGCTGACCCCTGCTCTCCACTCCCCTTCGCTCTGCATGCTTCTGCTAACCTCTTGTTGAGCCATAAGCTCTAGCTATGCTCCCACAGCCACAGGCCCTTAGCACACCCTTTCCCTCTGTCTGGATTACATATCTCCATCCCCTTTCCACTGTAACTTATCCTTTAGGCACAGGCCTTACTTAGAGAAGCCACTCAGACCCTCAGGCCAGGTTCCCTGCTGACAGCACATACAGCACCACTTGTCCTACATGGATTACACATTTGCTGGCTGGATTACGTTTCTTTCCCAGTAAAGTTCTATGAGGAGAGTAAGTGTTTGCTCACCACTGATCGTGTCCCGAGCACCAAGACAGTGGTGACACGTAGCATGCCTTCAGTAAACATCTGCAGAATTAATGGAAAAGGGAGTATAGCCAAAAATGCATTTAGGACCTGTGATTGTAGTCACAGAGACGTATGTTCTAGCTCAGATCAGATCAGTCGCTAGTTATGGCAGCAAAGTGTTTAGTGTAATGGTTTATAGCCAGAGTGGAAGCCCTTGATCAAATTCCTTCTCAGTAAGGTCCTGGCTGCACGCCCTTGGGCAAACTGCACAACCGCCCTGTGCCTCAGTTTCCCCATTTGAAAATGGGAACAGTAGTGCCTGACTCAGGCTTGGTTTGCGTTAGATACTCACTCAGATGCTCAGCCCAGTGCTCATCTGTGTGTGGTGCTGGTGCTGTTGTGTGCCTCGGGTGTGGTGTGCTGAGCTCCAAGGACTCACCAATTTTGAATGAAATAGATCAACTTTGTTGTCACAGAGCAAAGAGGTGTGGGGAGCTGTTTTGGCCCAGAGCCTATGTCTAGACCCTTGAGATGAGTAAAGTGTCACTGAACATTCTGACATTGCTGGTCTTAGGAAGGTGATAAGGAGGGCTGCACCATCACCCCACAGTCTATGGGGTGGCTTCTCCACGATGCCTGACACTGCCAGTGTTTCGCTCCCCAAGGGAAGAACGCCCAACGCAGGTGATCTTAAGCGGGCATTCTCTGTGGTCAGACTCAAGCCACACACCCTTTGGTTTAGTTCAGTTTGGAGAGCAATTTGATGTGCTGGTTTGATTTTTGGCTCACTGAGTTTTGCAAATATGTAATTCCTACTCAGTTCATACTGACTTATAAAGAAAACCTATCATTCTGTCCATCTGTCTATCCATCCATCTTCCTATCTGGAAAATAAACAAAATGCCTTTGGCTTCTCCTGTCCATAGTACAATAAAAGGACTTGCCCACTCTGGGGTCTGGGGATTTGTTACTGAGTTTTGTCTCCTGTTTCAAGGGGTTTTCTATAATGGAGATAGTTCTGAAATCACCTAAATCAGCACAGCCAGTGTCTGCTTTCCCAGGAACAGAGCTCTCTGTGAACAGAGTTACAGAGCCCAGGGAAAACAGGGGGTGAAAAAGTGGGGGTGAAGTTTCGGGGCAGTGTGTTGAAGGGAACAACTCTGTTTGAACAGGTAGCCATTTGGGACATGTTTTGCACTATTTTTCTTCTGATTGTTCGCTGTCTTTTATAACATCACTGTTAATACTGGAATAGGTGTTCTGATGGGAGGCATGACATGTTAGAAAGACGTGGAAACATATAAAACGCCATTTGCAAAAATAACAGAGAAGCCCTGGAGCAGCGCACACAGGCAGAGTAAACAGCAGAGACAGTTTCCAGCTCTGTTAAAAGACTGGCCATTAAAGGGAGCTCAAAGACAAGCCACCACAGGCACCTTACGATAACCCTTCCCCCCTGTTTACAAAACAGAGATCAAACGAGGGAGGTCAGGGTTAGAATTACGTATAACAGCCTCTCCATTCAGGTTCCAGTAGAGGAAGTCAAGTGATGGTTAAAGGGATTAGAGCTATTTTTAGTGAAAGCAAAGAAGAAAACCCTTTGGAGTCGCAGACTCCCACCTGAACAATGGTTACTTGGCAGGTGACCTCTGCCCCAGATGGAAGAGAGAGAATACCACAGTCTGACAACTTTATTGGATCCAGAGGGGAAGAAGAAACCCCACAATGATATGAACAGTAATCTAACAATGAGGGATTGGTAGATGGAGGCGTGACACCACCAGGCGGTCAGGAAGCCTGCCTGAGTGCAGGCCAAAGGCATGTGATTTTCCATGAGGTGACTGTGGTTAATAACAGCCACATCAGGGAGCATTTTTAGTTTTACCAGTCAAGGTAATAGTCCAAAAGCCATTGCCAGTATAGCTTTGTGAAAAGCTATAGCATTTTGCAAAGGAGAAGCTTGGACGTTCCAAGGGCAGATTGTGGGGGGCACCTGGTGGCAGAAATGCTCAGACCAAGGCTGAAAGACCACCATGACCCATCACAGGCAAGGAATCCACACAGGGCGGGCACACCCAGGCGACTCCCCACCACAGGGGCTGCCTCTGAAGCAGAAACTGTTTCAAACTCATTTTCCAGCAAAAGGGGCAGAACTGGGGGCCGGTGAGAATGCTTCTTGGGCTGGAGCTTTGCAGAGGCTGAGAGTTCCTGGGGGACAGAATGAGGCAGCTGCCTGGGCTGTGGCACATTGGTTAGTGTTTACCAAGTGATAAGCAACGCGGATCAGCATGGGGTCTGTGTGAAAAGTGCTGGCAAAGCCGCCGGTGAAACCCTGTCTTTACTAAAAATACAAAAAACTAGCCGGGCGAGGTGGCGGGCGCCTGTAGTCCCAGCTACTCGAGAGGCTGAGGCAGGAGAATGGCGGGAACCCGGGAGGCGGAGCTTGCAGTGAGTTGAGATCCGGCCACTGCCCTCCAGCCTGGGTGACAGAGCGAGACTCTGTCTCAAAAAAAAAAAAAAAAAAAAAACCGGTGCTGGCAAAGAGGGACTTTCCCTGTGAATGAGTTCTGACATGTGCTAGTTCTCCTCCAGAGCTGAGGAGTCTGGGGAGAAGATGGCCGGCAGGTATGGGCAGCGGCAGACGTTGGAGGCGAGGTAAGAGAGCAGAGGAAAGATCACTGGCTTCGCAGGTAGTTTGTGTCCATTACCAGGTCCCCAGGGCCACAGGGTGTGGAGGAAGCTGTGAACTCACCTCGGCATCCCCCGAAGTCCTTGAAAATGAGACAGCAGAAGCAGACAGTTGTCTGGGTGTTAAGAAATCCAAACAAAATCACTTTCAGGATTGTCTTCTAAGAAGAGAATCTGGGAGGCATGAGTTTTCACCTCCCACCAGGAACTGAGAAGTGCCCGGCAGGGTTGAAAGGAACCCTGGAGCCAAGCAGGAGTGAAACTTTTAGATGGGCCTTGGCATGTGACTCTTACACAAGAGGCCCTTTGGCCTGCACAGAATTTACACAATTCGAAGGCTTCTGGAAAACGTGCCCCAGCCGTGTGCCCCGGCTTGCTTGTTATATCTGGCAGGCACCGGGTGCTGTGGGTTCCGCATCTAGGGTGCGCCACACCGTCCCCTACTGCCCTTTAGCCTGGATCCAGGGGCAGTGGCTGGAACTCAGGCAGAGGAGCGGAGGCCCAGGCATGCGAAGGGGGGTGCCTGCAGTTAGGGGTTGGGCTGGGAACGCCAACACAAAACGCCTCAATAACCAGCAACTGTGCTTCCCCCGCCCCACTCACGCATGTGCCGCTGCCACAGCGCTCCATCTACCTTCCCCAGGGAGAGCACTGTTACTGTCCTCAGGCATCGGGGCAATTATGTGGACAGCGTCGCCTCATTTTGTCCCGTGATCTTGGGGAGCCAGGTGTTCAGAAAGGTGGATTTTCCAGATCATGGACAGTTCCATTTTGCAGTGTAAAATCTTTAAAAATTACTGTTTTTCAGAAAGTCAAGTACTGCATTTCTCACTTATAAAAACAGTGTGTACACATGGACATGAAGAGTGGAATAATAGACATCAGATACTCCAAAAGGTGGGAGGGGGAGAGGGAAGAGGGATGAGAAATTACCTAACGGGTATCATATATGCTATTCGGGTGATGGTCACACTAAAAGCCTAGCCTTCGTCACTACACAATAGATCCAGGTAACAAAACTGCACTTGTACCCACTAAATCTATTTTTAAAAAAATAATTATGGGCTGGGCATGGTGGCTCACACCTGTAATGCCAGCACTTTGAGAGGCCGAGATGGGTGGATCACCTGAGGTCAGGAGTTTGAGACCAGACTGACCAATATGGTGAAACTCAGTCTCTACTAAAAATACAAAAATTAGTTGGGTGTGGTGGCAGGCACCTGTAATCCCAGCTACTCAGCAGGCTGAGGCAGGAGAATCGCTTGAACCTGGGAGGCGGAGGTTGCAGTGAGCCGAGATCATGCCACTGCACTCCAGCCTGGGTGACAGAGCGAGACTCCATCTCAAAAAGAAAAAAAAAAATTACTCTAGGATTAAGATAATCACTGTTTTGATGAAAACCTTGATAATATGTACAGGATGCTTCTGCACTCTTAAGCAAAACACACATACCGTGGGTCACCTTGTGATGACTGAGCACTGTCATCATGAATGCCTGCAATGGCGCGGGCTGCGTTAACAGAGGTGCCCTGTGGACGCACAGGACATGCAGAACTGCTGTCCCCTGCAGTGAACGATCCCAAACTTCAGTGCCCAAAATACAAATATGACCTAGGAAACAAGAGAACTAGGCAGTTTTAAAAACTCCCCTTTTTCTAATTACAACAGTATTACATGTCCATTGTAGAAAATTTGTATGCACAAAATAATAAAAGAAAAATTAAAATCACTGAGATGAGATTTAAAATAGCCTTTTGCTGCCAGCCATAACTGTCATTACGTTGTTGGCAGCAGTAGGTACAACCATTCAAAGTCTCAGCCTGGGCACAATGGCTCATACTTGCAATCCCAGAGCTTCGGGAGGCTTAGGTGGGAGGATCTCTGGAGGCTAGGAATTTGAGACCAGCCTGGACAACAGAGTGAGACCTTGTCTCTACAAAAACATCAAATAAAAATCTCTAGCTGGGTGCAGTGTGTATACCTATAGCCCTAGCTACTCAGGAGGCTGAAGCAGGAGAATTGCTTGAGCCCAGGAGTTTGGGGCTGCAGTGAGCCTTGTTTGCACTACTGCTCTCCAGCTTGGGCAACGAAGTGAGACCCTATCTCAAAACAAACAAACAAACAAACAAACAAACAATCTTAATTTCTACCTAATAGTCTCTTCTCTCCTTCAAGGTAATGTACCTGCATTTTGTGATCACTGCTTTTATTTTATTTTATTTATTTATTTATTTATTTATTTATTTTGAGATGGAGTTTCACTCTTGTTGCCCAGGCTGGAGTGCAATGGCACCATCTCAGCTCACCACAACCTCCGCCTCCCAGGTTGAAGCAATTCTCCTGCCTCAGCCTCCTGAGTAGCTGGGATTACAGGCACGCGCCACCACGCCCTGCTAATTTTGTATTTTTAGTAGAGATGGGGTTTCTTCATGTTGGTCAGGCTGGTGTTGAACTCCCAACCTCAGGTGATCCACCTACCTCGGCCTCCCAAAGTGCTGGGATTACAGGCGTGAGCCACAGCGTCCAGCCCCCCGCTTTTATTTCTGGGTAAAATGGTGTTGTTGGTTTCAAGAATATAAGCTAGATGTTATTGAGAATGTACAAAAACTTCCTTTATACCCTAATTCTATAAAAAGACAAAATATCAGTTTAAGTGTATAAGAAGCTGGTGTAAGTTTGCAAAGAATTATCAGTCTCTTTGAATCTTTTCATGGCTACTCTCGAAAATTTCAAAACTTTGCAGGTAGATTCCCGAACAGAAGGTGTTGGGGTGGAAACTCCCTTTGCAAAAATTCTAACAGTGAGAAAATTACAGCAGTGAGGGGATTCTGGTCTAGCCAACTCCCTCTTGCCTTTAGCCTTCAAGCTTCACCTCTGACAACTGATGCCTGAACCTGGAGGTGATGTGGCTGGAGACAGGCATGTCTACCAGCAAAGAGGCACCTCAGGGTGTCCAGTTCATCCTACGTCCTTCCAGGTGACAGGCAGTGGGAGGCTTGGCCCGGCTGGTTAGGACCGTGGGCCCCAGTCTTGGGCATATGCACCCAGGGGCACACCTTCACTGGAAGAGGGGAAGAAAATATTGGAACTTCAACTTATATTCATTGTTTATCTAAAAGTATTTTAAATTGATATATATTTTTAACTTCTTTCATGATTGCTATATATATATATATAATATAATATAATTGACCTTATTAGCCACTTTTACATATAGAATTCATTGGGATTAATTACATTCACAAGTTGTGCAGCCATTGCCACTCCTTCCAAAATATTTCATCACCCCAGATGGAACCTCTGCCCATTAAGCAAAGACTCCTTAACCGTTCCCTCTATGAATTGGTCTCTATGAATTTGACCATTCTAGATAATTTATAGACATAGAATCATACAATATTTGTATTTGTCCTTTTGTGACTGGCTTGTTTAACTTGGGTTTTCAAGGCTTGCCCATGTTGTATGTAGTGTTTATCAGAATTTCCGTCCTTTTTAAGGCTGAATAATATTCCATTGTGTGGACATACTGCACTTTGTTTAACTGTTAAACTTTTGATAGACTTTCAGTTGATTCTAGCTTTGTGAATAATGCTGTTCTAATCACTGGGGTATCTGTTTTGAGCGCTTGTTTTCAATTCTTTTGGGTATATATTAAGGAGTGGAGTTTCTATTTTTTATGTTTAAAAATATCTGTTTTTGTGTTTATATACAATAGGTTAGCAGAGTAGTAAAGATATGATTTATAACTTGACGTACGTATTTTGGGGAGCACAAAATATTTTCTGCAAAAAGTTCATTATAAAAAAAAAGGACCTAGGCCGGGGGTGGTGGCTCACACCCGTAATCCCAACACTTTGGGAGGCCGAGGCGGGTGGATCATGAGGTCAGGAGATTGAGACTATCCTGGCTAACACAGTGAAACCCTGCCTCTACTAAAAACACACACACACACAAAAACATTAGCCGGGCGTGGAGGTGGGCACCTTTAGTCCCAGCTACTTGGGAGGCTGAGGCAGGAGAATGGCGTGAACTTGGGAGGCAGAGCTTGCAGTGAGCCGGGATCACGCCACTGCACTCCAGCCTGGGCGACAGAGCGAGACTCTGTCTTAAAAAAAAAAAAAAAAAAATTGCATCATTAGGTTAGAGCTTCAGGTAGATATTCTGGCAGCCATATGGTTAATTCCCAGATTTCTAGTTTTTCATAGAGATGGGGGACGACATGTCCCAGCTGGCCTGGGACAGTCCCAGCTGACGTCCTCATCCTGGTGTAATTGTTGGTTGTCCCCTTCACCCTCACCAAGGCCTGCCTTCCCTGGGGGAGCAGAAACGCTTGCAGTTCAGAGCAGGTGGGAAGAGAGAGCAAGGGGAGTTGGCTCAGCGCCACCACAGAAAAGCAGCTCAGAAAGATCCAGTGCGTGGAAGACAGCACATTTTATATTTAAACTTTTAATTTTGTTTATTCTAGAGAAAGAGTCTCACTCTGTCACCCAGGCTGGAGTGCAGTGGCATGACTGTAGCTCACCTGAGCTCCTGGGCTCAGCGTCTTCCTGCTTCAGCCTCCTGAGTAGCTGGGACTATAGGCACACACCACCATGCCTAGCTATTTTTTTTTTTTTTTAAAGAGATGGGGTCTTGCTATGTTGCTCAGACTGGTCCTGAACTCCTAGGCTCAAGCAATCTTCCTGCTTCTGCCTCCCAAAGTGCTGGGACAATAGGTAAGAGCCATCACACCTGGCCAGCGCATTATTTTAATGGCCACTGTTTTTGCTTTTAGAAGAGTATGTCTGAAGTATTGCCTGTCCCTTGGGCCCCTCTTCCCTCCGGAGCAAGGGGACTGAAGGCTGGCTGTGCAGTCATGAGCTCCCGGCTCTAAGGTGAGGAAGCACCCTTAGTGTAGGATACACTGGATTATGTCATGTATTCAAGTGGGGAAAGCAGCAGCTCAGACTGTCCCCCTCACATCCTGATTGATTAGCTCCCTCTAGGTGGGGAAAAAGGTCAAAATGATCTTCTAGAAATAGCTGCTCCTCTGTCATATTTCCACAGTTGCCAGTTCAGAGCTACCAAATACTTTTTAAAAATCATTAAAAGCGGCTGGGCTCGGTGGCTCACGCCTGTAATCCCAGCACTTTGGGAGGACAAGGTGGGTGGATCACGAGGTCAAGAGATCGAGACTGTCCTGGCTAACACAGTGAAACCCCATCTCTATTGAAAATACAAAAAATTAGCC